CCAGAGAAAACCTGAAGGAAGCCCTAGACTCCAGCAAGTACCAGGAGAAAGCCTTCAGCCCTGTCCAGACTATGGGAAAGGCCATAGGTCCAGAGAGAACCTGAATAAAGCCTTAGAACCCAGTGAAGACCTGGTGAAGGTATTAGGCCCCAGTGAGACTATAGTGCAGCCCTTAGGCCATAAAGCAAACCTGTAGATAGCCTTAAACCCTGGTAAGTACTGTCAGGAAGACTTAGGCTCCAGTCGGAACCTGAGAAGGCCCCAGGACCAGAGAGAATAAGGGGGTGCGGGGGGGGGGGCTTAAGTACAGAGATACTTGACATAAGATCTTAGTCCTCTGTGACATCTAATATAAGACCTCAATATTTGTGACATCCTGGAGAAGTTCTCAGCCCCCATTGTAAACTTTGGAGGGCTAGAGGCCCCTGGGGAAGGCCTGGGTCACAGAGAGACACTGGGAAGAGCTTAAGCCACAGAATAGCCCTGAAGAAAACCTTTGACCTCTATGAGACCCTGGGAAGTCATCAGGCACCATTAGAACCTAGAGATAACATTCAGCCACTTTGAGACCCTGGGCAAGATTCTAGAATCCCTAAAATGTTACTCCTCTGGGAAGGCGCTAGGCCCAGATGAGATCCTGAGAAAGGCTTTAGCTATGGGTGATATTTAAAGAAGCATTTCTGCCTCAGGAAGAATGTGGGAAGATTTTTATGTTCCATTTAGATGCTATGTTCCACTGGGAGGCCTTAAGAACCAATCAAGTCAGGAAGCCCTAATGAGACCCTGGTAAAGTCCTTGGGCCCTAGAGAGACTTTGGAGATGCCTTATGTTCCAGAAAGACCCTACTGAATGCCTTAGGTCCCCCAGAGAGACCATAGAAAGATCTTGAGTCCAGTGAGTCACGGGGAAGTCCTTATACCTTATTTAACTGCAAGAAGCTCTTAAGCTCAAATCAAAACACCTTAGGTCCCAGTGAGTTCCTAGGGAAAATTTAAGACAAGTTTAAACCCTGGAGACAGCTTTAGGCCCCACTGAGACCCTGGGGAAGACCTGGGATCCCAGTGAGAATCTGGCGAAGACTTCAGGCATCAGTCAGTCGCTGGAGAAGGCCTCAAGACCCAATGATAACCTAGGGAATGCCTTCAAACTCAGTAATAAACTAGTGAAAGCCTTAAGACCCAGTGAATACCTGGGGAAAGCCAGTGAGACTCTGAGAAGGTGTTAAGATTCAGTGAGGTCATTTCGATAGGGCTTCAGGCCAAAGAGGACCTGCAAAAGGTCTTAGGCCTTGGTGCAAACCTGGCAAGGCCTTGGGCATTCCCTGGGGACAGAGAACTTCTCTAAACTATCATTGAGGACTAAAGTCTTAAATTAGGTGTCATTACATCTAAGGCCTTCCCCAGGTCCTCACTGGGGTCTAAGGGACCTAAGACAAGTTTAAACCCTGGTGGTAACATTTGGGGTCCCACTTAGACCCTGGTAAAGCCTGGTCCCAATGAGTCACTATGAAAGGGTTAGGGTTTGGTTTTGGTTTTTGGTTTGTTTGGGTTTTTTTGTTTGGTTGGTTGGTTTTTGGTTTTTGGTTTTTTGAGACCAAGAAGTCCTTAGGCTCGAACTCAGTCACTGGAAAGGACTTAAGCCCTTGATAAGTCCATCTGTAAGTTTTACACCTAAGTGATACCCTTGGGAAGGTTTTAGGCCCTTAGCAAGCACTGACCTGCACTTAACAAGATGTCTCAGCTTGTAATGGTGTCTGCTACTAAGCCTGATGACCTGTGCTTATCCCTAGGACCCATTTATGGAAAGAGGGACTCATGCCCTGTGGATTGTCATTTGACTTCCTCATTTGGAAGTATACAAACAAACTGATTAATTAGTTAAAATATTGAGATAAAAGAAGAGCTGAGACTTTCAGACAAGTCTGTGAATTTTCCTGAGGCCATGGGACCTTGGGCCATGAAAGTTAATGAGACACTCCACCACCACTCCCACTCCTCCTCATCTCCCCCCCCCCCCCCCCCCCCACCCCCCCCCCCCCACCCCTGTGAAGGCTTCCAACCCACAGATACTCTAGAGAAAGCCTTCTCCCCTACTGAGACAATTGTGTGGTGTTTGAGTACTGCTGAGATTCTGGAAAATTCTCATGCTCCACTGAGGCCTTAGAAAAGGTTGCTAGGCTACTGAGACCCTGAGGAGGGAGGAGGGCACCTTTAGGACACCGTAGAAGGGCCTCAGACTTCAGAAATTCTTTTTAAAAAATCCATGAACCTTACTGAGACCTGGAGGAGAGCCTGGAACAATGTTAAATCTTAAGCAAGGCCTTCAATCCCATGTGATCCTGAGAAGACTGGCCTTTATTGAGATCCTAGAGAAATCCTTAACCTCACTGAGATCCCAAGGCCTTAGCTCCTCTAGGGCCCCGGGAAAGTCTCAGAATTGCAACATGCTAATGAGTGTGGAGGGAGCCTACTGAGTGCCCCTCAGGTGGAGGGGTGCTTCATTAAGAATCTGGGACCCTGGGGCAGAGAGTAAGACACTCTAAAGACCTGGAGAACACAGAGAGCTACACTGAAACCCTACAGAAAGCAGTGTACCCCACTGAGATCCCTGGAGGGTTCTGTGTTCCTTTGAGACCTTAGGAGAAGCTGTGAGTCCCACTGCAACCATGGGGACTCACTGAGTTGCTGGTGTGATGGCTTGAGTGTGAAGCTTTCCCCACAGACTCCTGTGTTTGAACATTTGGTCCCCAGCAGGTGGTGCTGTTCTGGGAGATTGTGAAACCTTTTGTTCATGGGGTCTAGCTTCTCAAGTTGCTTCTTTGGGGGATTCATTCACAAGGATATGAACAGAACTAACACAGGAGGAAAGATTTAGGTACTTTTCAGATCTTGGGAAGTCAGTGAAGTTCACTGAGACTTTAGAGAAGGCCTTAAATCCCCTTGTTGCCTTCAGGAACACCATGAGTTTGGATGAGAGCCAGGGAGACAGTGTGAGCCCTACTGAGTCCCCAAGCAGACCAGGCTTCCCTAACATCTGGAGAAAACCCAAGTCCTTTTAGTACCCTGGGAAGGCGGTAAGAATTAAAAATAGCAGTGATATGGCAGGACCACCATGCCTATTGAGATTCTGAGGAAGGCTGTGAGCTCCAAACATGCCTAGGGAAAGTCTTAGCCCCACTGAGAAACTGAAGCTGTCTCTGGGTGTCATCGGGAGTTCTAAAACCTCACAGAGACTTTGGGGAAGGCATTTGTTCTGGGGAGACTCTAAGAAAGGCCCAGAGTCACAATGAAACCTTCACAGGGAGCCAGGTGCTGCACCATGTGAGGCCCCAACCATGGGGAACCCCGAAATAGGCTGTGAGCCCTGCTACAACTTTGGGGTAGGGTAAACCCATTGCAGCTTTGGCATGCCAATGAGCTGCTTTGAGACTCAAGTTAGGTGTAGTCCTCATGGAAACTCTGGAGAGGTTTGAACCCCATGATGGTCCTGTGGAGGGCTTAAAGACCTGCAAGGATGCTCAGGGTTATCCCTATATGTCACTGGAACCCCAGAAAAAGTTTAAATGTCACAGAAATAAAAAATAACATAAAGAAAGCCCTAAGCCTTTTTAAGTTACCAAGGAGAGCCAGAAGTGGTGGTACATACCTGAATTTCAGAGCTTGGGAGGCTGAGACAAGAAGATGGTGAGTTTAAGATAAGCCTAGCTATACCTTTGAGAAAGGTCTCAAAAGTAGACAAAATTCCTAGGGAGGTTGGAGCCCCAGTGAGACCCTCAGCAAGGCCCTCTAGCCTTGCTATGGTCCTGAGGACCCTCCCACTGTCTGTCTTCCCACCTGGATTCTGCTCCTTGCCTGCACTCCTCTTGGGGTGCCCACATATCCCCTGCTCCACTGGGTCCACTATAGTGTCTCAGATACCCAGAGTGTGAATGGCTGTAGCAATTTGGTGGGGTGGGGGGAGGCAGGGAGCAGGAAGCAAGGGACCCATAGTTCTAGTCTAGTGGCTATAAAGCCCCATGTAGGGTAGAGTTCTAGCTCATGCAACTATACCAAGGGTTTTTGCTGGCTGGCTGGGGAACAGGGCAGTACCAAATCAAATCATGGACAGGAGTCAAAGAACCCCCAAGCACTCCAAGTGGAGTCTGAGAAGAGTTTTGTAGCTGGGGTAGAGCCTGAACTAAGAGACAGAGGCAGAGACTCGGCTCTAAAGCATGTGCCTCTAGTGGGACCTGCTGGCCTCCAGGTGTTTGTTTTGGAGTATTGGGATAGAAGGGTGTACCACAAGGCTTCATTCAGCTCAGCTGACCCCTGAGTAGGTTTGTGGAAGAAAAGATGGAGGGGAAGGGACCAGCAAATTCCTTTCTGCCTGAATTCTGCTTTCTCCTTACCTCTGTGAGTGAGCAGGGGTCTCAGCTGAGCTAAGGACCTGGCTATCAATGGGGACTATGAAACAGTCCAAGGGACAGGGACACCAGACCCCCAACAGCTCCAGCTCCCTGGGGAATGATGTGAATATTGCTCAGCCAAGGCCAAAGAAGGCCTGGCTCTCTCTGGGACGATGCCCCCTGCTGTGAACTGGATCATCAGGCCACCCTGCCCCTTGTTAAGACTCTAATTACTCTAGGGCTAAGTAGAGTTGTTGACGTCCATTGAGAGCTTTCTGCAGACCCAGCACCAGGGAAGTGTTTAGAAACTGCAGCTTCAGCCCCTCTGGCCACCTGCCGACCCACCCCCTGGAGCCCTTAATGGACCAAACACCAGAGTCCAGGGGGCAGACAGGAGGAGCTTTAGACTATAAAACTAGTGGGGATCCAGTAACCCCCAGCCCTACGTGACCAGCTATAATCAGAAGCCATCAGCAAGCAGGTGCGTACCCTCCTCACTGGGCCTCACTCCCCAGCCAAGACTCCAGGGACTTGAGGGAAGGTGTGATGGGCTCTTCTCTTACATGGGCCCTTTGCTGGTCTCAACCCCACCTATCTTCCAGGTTATTGTTCTATCATGGCCCTGTGGATGCGCCTTCTGCCCCTGTTGGCCCTGCTGGCCCTCTGGGAGCCGAACCCTGCCCAGGCTTTTGTCAACCAGCACCTTTGTGGCTCCCACCTTGTGGAGGCACTCTACCTGGTGTGTGGGGAGCGTGGCTTCTTCTACACACCCAAATCCCGTCGTGGAGTGGAGGACCCACAAGGTGAGTTCTGCCCCTGAATTCTGTCCCCAGTGCTTGCCACCCTGGTTTTCCTTGCCCACAGGACCTCACAGATTATGTCCTGGGTGTGGAGGGTCTCAGAGGAACTGGGCAGGGGCACATTTCCGTGGGAAGCTAGACATAGCTAAACACAGCGGCTGCTGGGAATGAATGAGAATCCTGCCTTGAGGCTCCTAGGTGCAGACATGTGGGCAGGCCCCAGGATAGGCACCTATTTGGGGCCGCCATAAAACACTAGGGGTTGGTGGCAGGATGCGTAGGCTTTAGAGCTCTTTGTGTCCATGCCCGGTGACTTGTCCCACATACTGACTTAGCAGGAGAGACAAGGTGAGAGGAAGCCTGGGGTAGGCAGGAGGCTGCTCAGCTGCCCCTGACTGGATTGTCCCATGTGTCTTTGCTTCTATGTTGCTGACACTCTGGCTTGCTCTGACACTGCCTCCCTGGCAGTGACACAGCTGGAGCTGGGTGGCGGCCCTGGAGCAGGTGACCTTCAGACCTTGGCACTGGAGGTGGCCCAGCAGAAGCGCGGCATTGTGGATCAGTGCTGCACCAGCATCTGCTCGCTCTACCAGCTAGAGAACTACTGCAACTAGGCCTCACCACCACCCAGCCCACCTTCCTGCAGTGAATAAAACCTTTGAAGGAGCACTACCAGTTGTGTGTGTGTGTGGGATGTGAGCGGGGTGGGGGCTGGTTGGGATGGCCCCAGCTTAGTCCACCTGCCTGGCCACAATGGGTCCCTCTTTGTTGCTCTCTGCACCCCCATCTTTCTCTTGGCTCCCTGGGCAACCACAGATGTCCACTGACCCAAACCTAGAACATAGATAGTTCCTTCCCCAAAGTGGCCAATGCTTTTAGGTTGCCCATAATAACTCTCACCCTGAGTTGTCTGGGAGGACCATGACCCTGACTCCTGCTGCTTCTAGCTGAATAGAGAAGAGCTTGGAGTCTTTGGAAGGCATGGTGATGGCAGCTAGGAGCCAATGCTTCATTGCTTCATCGCCCTGGACCTTCAAGGGCCCCAGAGAAATTTTAAAAGAAAGAGGACCCGAATATTCCAACAACAGCTTCCACCTAGCTTTCCTGAGTTCTGCTTCCAGAGCTATTTTAGAGGGAGTCCCTAAAGGGCCACAAACTGGACCTGGGAACTTCAGCTGGAAGGCCATGGAAAGCATCCTTGCAGTTCTTAGCTCTGGGAGGACAGAGAACATTCCCAACCCTTCTCACACTCTCCAAGTGACCCTTTGTGCTCTGGACAGAATGGGCATTCAACATGGGTGAAAGGATACACTGAACAACTCCCATGGGCACTGGGCAGGAGCCTCAGAACCCCACTTCTCAGGAGTGGCCCAGGAGTGAGTACTAGGCAGTGTGGGCCATGAGAGAGCCAGATGATTCAAGGCCTAGGGCCAGGATCTCCTGTCACTTCTCAGTCTCTCTTTCCAGCAAGGTGGGGTCTTTCACCAGATTCCTTGAACCTGGGAACTTAGCAATCCCTCTAGAAATAGTCTTGATCCTAAGGAAAGGCCACGTGGCATCAAGATCTTTGGGGCATCTCAACACAGAGCACCTCTCTTCAGGACCACGGACCACAACTGGGTGGTGCTTGTCAGGCAGATGAAAATTTAGGGGCCTAGACAGTGATCCTGGTCACCCCAAGAGCTGGCTGACCTTCCTGCCACCCAAGTCAAACCAATCTGTATCTCCCTGAAAGTTCCACCCAGGGCCAGGATGACAGGCCTCTGAGCTAGATGCAGGCTCTTCTTGCTGGAACTTGGTGGCTGGGAAGTCTCCTAGAGCAGCCCTGAGAACCCCTTCCCAGTCACCTCCTCTCTGACAATACCACACCCCTACCTAGAGAAATATCATAGGCCCCTTATAAGCCCTGCCCCTGAAAGGGGGGCCAGAACTGAACAGGAGGGTGGATGGCTGGATACTGGGCCTGGAAGAGGAGAAGAGGAGATGGCTGTGATCCTTCAAGGGGATCTCCCTCCCGGGTCAGTTAGCACAGCCTGAGACAGGGCACCCTGCTGGAGTGGAGGTATGTGAGTCTCGGCAGAGCAAGAAGCAGGAACTGGGAAGTGGGCTGGTTGGGGGGGGGGGTCTGTTGAGCCTTCAGAAAGCCATTGGCCTTGGGGCTGCCTGGGCCTTGGGTAGGTAGGCACATGTGGCACCCCAACATTCAGGTGCCACAAAATGTCTTGAGTGCATATGAGATAAAGAGAGCAAGAGTCTTTGGGTCCTTGGGCCTTGTTGGACAAGCCCAGCTTTGCAGAACATGCAGTAGACTGGTGCTTTGGTTCTGGGAGCTCAAAAGTATGATCCAGGGATCAGAATTCCTGTCTATAGCTTCACTCCTGGGGCCTTTGACCCAGGCCTTAAGGGAGGGCAGGTTGCCCCCAGGACCCTTAACCCGCCCAGGCTGAGGTACATCCCCACTGGCTTCCTGGGGCCTCCTGAATCTCTGGTTTGGGGCTCTCCTTCCTAACTCTTCCCATTTGGTCTCCTCTTCTGGAGAGAAAGCAGAATACTAGAGACAGGTGTGTGCTGCCTCTCAGTCCCTCCAGGAACGGACAAGAAGCAGTCACCCAAAGTGAGCAAATGCCCGGGAGCTGAGGTTGGATCAGACTCTGTCTTTGATGAACACCACCATGAGTGCTAACCCCAGAGATGCCAGCTGAAGACCTCAGAGGTTCCCTTGAACCCCTGGGTCACCCCTTGTAGGTCAGCCACAGACCTGCCTCAGGTACTCCCGCTGCCCTTGCCTTGCCCATGTACCACTCAGTCCCTTCTGGGTACATGACAGCCCTGCAGCACAGAAGCTCCTGCCTGCCCTTGGAACCCGAATTTCTCTTGTTCATGGGGCCTGCAGTGATAATTATTTTCAACAAGTTATGCCCATCACTTTGATGTTGGAACTGGGGCTGTGTCTTATGGGGACCTAACAACCCCCAACCCTGCTGGGGCCCCTCATCATGTCTGCCTACCATCTGGAGGTCCAGGATCTTTTAGGGTATTACTAAGGACAGCCAGTACACCTGTGTTGTACTCTTGCCTGGTCTAATGAGGTGGTTCAGCTCCATATTTGTGGGGTGGAGAAAAACTAATGCTACACACAGGGTGACCAAGGCCTGGAGCCAGGGCAGCCACTCTTCCGCTATGCAGTTACAGTATGGGTCTCCAGGCACCTAAAACGGTCTGCCTATGTAGCTGCCTTCAGGTTGGCTCCCCAAGTTTGCATTGGGTCCTGGCACAGATAAGCTGGTACCTCAGCCCAGCTCCAGGGATGGCATTTGCTTTTTCATGTTATCAATAAATGTTTACGACACTTGTCTTCTCCAGGCCTGAACAGACCCTGAGTGACATGAGAAGTGGGTTCAGGCATGCCAAGGTCCACTTTTTCCCTTTGAGGTCCTTATGCCCAGCAAGGTTCTGAACCAAGCAGTGGGTAGCACCCAGGAACCAGATAGCTCTTAAGTCAACCTGCCCAGAAAAGTTGCCACTAGGCAGCACCAAACACTGGTTGGTGGATCTTTGGCCCAGCTGTGAGTGGGGGAGACCCCTGAGAAGCCTTCCCACAGACGAAAATTGGATGTCCCTCTGTAGTTTTGGAGTAGACTTTTGTGAATTCTGGAGGATACAGTCAGAAATGGCTACTCAAGATGTGTCCAGCAGAGGGCACCAAAACCTTGCTTTTGAGGCTCTCCAAGCCTGAAAGCCCTACCTCAGGCCCTTCTAGAGGCCACAGAGTTTCTCCCTTTGCTCCCCTGTACTCACAGGAACAAAGGGATTTCCCAAAGAGACTCCAGAGGGTATGAGGTTTGAGAAGGAGAGAAAGTGTCTCATCATGCTTGGTGTGACCTTTGGGATTCTAGGCTCCCTAGATGCTCATGGAACAGATAAACAAATGTCCTGGTGTCCACAATGTCCTTAGAATGTCTCAGGTTAGTGTCATCTACTGCCTTCCTAGAATTACAGCTGCCTGGAGGAGGGTGTAGGGGCAATCCATACAATTCCTCACACTATGGCTAAGCCAACAGGCCAGGGGTACAGGCTGTCTGTTTCCAGCTCGAACCCTGATGTGTGCATGTATAGGTCCCCAGAGGCCTAGTGGGCACTGAGACTGGAAACCAGAGGAACCAGTGGTCCCTTGCTCTGCTTGGAGTTTTCTTAGGCACACAGGCTGGGAGGTCAAACCCTGGTTTTCACATGGAGTTGGGTCTACAGGGACCCCAGGGTGCAGGATGCCTCATGCAGGGACATCTGGGACAGGGTCAGCCCTTTCCCATGTCTACCTTCCGCCCAGTGCTGAGAGGAAGGGAAGGACAATTTTGAAAAGAATGCTGGGGGTGGTGAGGCCAGGGGTCTGAGAGCTGAAGTACAGCCTGGATACAGTGTCACTCCTCTCCCCCTCCCTCCACTATTGTTTCTGGCCTGGCCACAGAACAGCAAGGCAGATTCCTTCGAAAGTGAAGCTGTGGAGGCGGCCCTGTATGATCCAGTCACGCTGCGTTGGCGCCAAGTTACCCAGTGGCATTGAGCCAGTCTCCTTGGAGTCATTGGCTCACAGCCTGGCTCCCAGGTAGCCCCACCACACACACACACACACACACACACACACACACACACACACACACACACACACCCCGGAGCACACACACAACCTCCCCCCCCCCTGCTGTC